TGGGTAATCTATAAAACATTGGTACACGTCCTTCTGCATTTGTATTGCTTGTTTTTATAACATTGTGAGCATAAATATTGCATTCCTTATTTCAGTGTCTTTGATGAACCTGCACTGTTCCTGTCCTATTTTTGGTCTGATTCTGCTGTGCACACTATTCATCAGAATTCAAATGATAATTTTCATTATATGGCTCATTAGGCTGATTGTCTGATGGAGTTCACAGGTAGTGCTATGAAAAGAGACCTACTTTGGTCTTCCAGTATATCACTACTATTGTAGATTTAATTATTCCCTTAATCTTGTCTATGCCAAAATCATTCAAAGCTGCCAGCATCTCTATTACTGGCCCTGCTGCTTTGTTTCTGTTCAATTTCGACAGTACAGATTCTACTTCAGATTTTAATATTTCTGGTTCATCAATATTTCTTTGAACTGCCAGTTGTTCTCTTTCATCATGGAAATATTCGTTCAATCTCTGGTGTATTTTTATTTCTCTGATAACAGCATTCCATCCTTGGATTTTATGCATCCTGTTGATAAGCATGTCTTTTGTCCTGTTAGTTATCTTATTCTTTCATGCATATTTGCCTTGTTAAACTCATTCTTTATATTTCTAAACATTTTTTATTGAGCAGTTCCTCTTTAGCCTGCCTGCATTTGTTCCTTATTTCTTTGTGTAGTGTCCTATTTTCTGTTCTGTGTCTTAGCATTGTTTTTGTCTCCTTTTCATCACATCAAGAATTTAATCTGACATTCATTTTTTTCTTTGTCTATTTTCCTTTGGGATGATTTTGATTTTTGAGAATAATTATATTATTAATCTATAAAACACAGGAAAACATCCTTTTGCATTTGTATTGCTCTTTCTAATAACATTCTGCTTCTTAGACAGTGCTATGAAAATAGGTCTACTTAGGTCTTCCAGTGTACCACCACTGTTGTAGATTTAATTTATTAATTCTATAATCTTGTCTATACCGAAATCATCTAACGCCACCAGTATCTCTATTACGATTATGCCTGGCCCTGTCACTTTGTTTCTATTCAATTTGGCCAGTGCAGATTACTCACCAAATTTTAATATGTCCGATCTGTCAATATTTCTGTGTATTGCCAGTTGTTCTCTTTCATCTTGGAAGACTTCTCTGAAATATTCGTTCGATCTCTGATGTATTTTTCTTTCTCTGATAACAGCATTCTGTCCTTGGATTTTATGCATCCTCTTGATAAGCATGTCTTTTGTCCAGTTTGTTTTCTAATTCTTTTAGGCATGTCTGCTCTGTGATACTCATTCTTTCTAATTTTTTATACATTTTATCTAAGAAAAATTTTTTTTCGACACCAAAACTACTGTCCAATTTGTTTTAGTATCTGTGTCGGAATAATAATAAAAAGAGTATCTAATACGTGTCAAGAACTATATTTAGACATTGCTTAATGAAAGGAAAAAATGTTTACAAAAAAGGTAATATAAATGAAAAGAAAAACTAGTCTAGCATTGAGAACTGACATCACATACAGATGTCTTAAATGAAGGATTGATTTGTCCTTTTTTTATGGTTTATCAACCCTTTGTGGATTATTTAAAGCCGGAACATTTTATGTTGTAAGAATAATTTTTTTTTTTTTTTAATAAATACTGCATTAATTTTTTTTTTTAATTTTTTGAGAATAACAATGTTTTTCCCACATACAAGTCTTACCATAATCTATAGCTAGGGAGAGGTGATGGATTCATGCCTTTCCCAAGGATATTTGTGTATAAGTGAATGTAACGAACCTGACTGGAATTCGAACTCAGATCTCCGATTACTCATTCCGTGCTGCTAACACACACACACACACACACACACACACACACACACACACACACATCCATGTTTAAATGAAGGAAGCGTCAATAAAAACAAGAAAGAAAACAATAGAAACTAAATTTACCAAATTATTATTGTTGTTGTTAAAATAATAATAATAATAATGCCTATAGAACGCCTACAAAGTGATGCTTGTTTACAAATAGGAAGGCAAATATACCCATCATAACACCGAGTCTGATAAGTGCTTACACACCCAAATGTGCGCATTATGATGATGTTTTGTTAAGAATACAACGCATAAACTTGCAGATGGGCCTTAGTTAAAAAAAAAAAAAAAAAAAAAAAAATAGGTCGGGTAACTCAGTCCGCTCAAACGGTTTACGACTGAGAGTGTCTTTCTAGATATGATACCCAAGTTTTCTTGGCTGCCTCATCCCTTAAAGTGGGAGCTTGTTAATTTTAAACACCTCCAGAACGAAACTACTCTCTCTCTAGTTTAATCGTCTGAAACGAGCTACTGACTTCAAGCGTGTAAATTCGTGAATAAATTCCTTCTTGTTTTGTCAAAATTACCCGTGTGTTTCCTCGTAATAATTATCATTCTTCATTAATCTTCTTAGCCTGCGTAAATCAACTGTTCATATTTTTAACTTCACGCCACTAAACTCGGACCAACGTTTTCCGATGACATGAAGTGGAAAAATTCAATACTGAATTACAGTAATTGCGAGGACCGCTGTTAAGAAAGTTGGTTCCCTGTGTCACGCTAGAAATTTTTTCTTGCCAAAATAATTTAAGTCTACTACTCATCCTTTCTTTGAATATTGCTACCACATCGAGTCTGGTGCTCCTGTTATATTTGTTATGATAAAATTCAAAGAATCTGCAATGTTATTGGTCCTGACCTAGCATCCTAGTTTCAGTCATTTTCCTACCGCCGTAATGTAGCTCCTCTGTGTCTTTATTAGTTTTATTTCCTAATACACAGACCAACTTTTCTCTCTTTTTTCTCTTTGCAATAAAGAATACATCATTTTTTTGTTAATTAAAACTAGGGAAGGAAACAAGTACTATAATTAATTCTCACCTCTTAAATTTTTTTTTTATAATCTTCTCGACAAAATTCAACCATTTCTGAATTCAAAAGCCCATAATGTTCGTTTCTCGTGTTGCTAATATTGAAAAAAGCTCAACAATCACATACTTTATTTAACCAGAAAAATCCTGTGCGAATAATTTTGTCTGTCCATTATTTTCTGTTCATTATTGATAGTTTTTTTTTTTTTTTTTTTAATTAATAGGATTTCGAACTTATTGCACACCTGAGAGGTTTTATAACCCAAGTTAAGTAAGCTTTTTTTAAATGCGTTTAAATTAATTAATTAATTAATTAAAAACCTGTAGAAAAATATATCTTCATTCATCTCTCTTTTTCCTAGCAAATAGGAAAAAATATCATCTGCAATTTATTGCTGAGTGATAAAAATCTATAAAGATACTGATTTCTGATCTTAACTGTTATTTGTTAACGGATTTTAAATTTAGAAAATTTACATGCCATAGAGAGAGAGAGAGAGAGAGAAACAACAGTGAAAAGTGAAAACAATATCTTAAAAAACAAAGTCGAATTGCATCACTAAGGAGGTAATTAATATACACACATACAGAGATCGAGAGAGATTGAAAGACATGGCTATATATATATATATATATATATATATTTGTCTCAGTGAATAATTTAAACAAGTTTTGTGTACTTACTTTCAATACAATCCAGTGAGACATACTCTTTGAATGCTGCCAAAATACGAAATATATATATATATATATATATATATATATATATATATATAGTTATTTTCACCACAGCTTGGGAGTGTTTTGTTTGACTAGCACAAACAATAGCTAAGATTTAAAAATATTCCTTACAGTTAGTGTGTAAATCATCATCATCATCATCGTATTATCCCACCACCAAAAAAGTTTGAAAGTAACGAGAAAGAAAGAAAGAAAGAAAGGGATGATGACTAGCATTGAATATACGATATCAAACAGAAAAAGAAATAAAAACGTTTTAAATATATATTTTTTAATTATAAACTTGATATTTGTTACGTTTTTACAATAAACAATATTTAAAAATTCTTTTCATGCTCTTTTCTTTATTTTTAATCGAAAATCGATAAAAACTTTTTAAACAATTAAAAATGTAAAAAAATATGAAACCTTTTGTTTTGAGAAATTAAAATAGAATTAAAAATACAACTTTAAATCAAACTTCTGTTTGATTCCTCCTTGAAAATACCATTTGCGTAGTCTATTATCATCATCACGATTTATCAACAACAATGATGACCCCCTTGGCATCCTCAACGCACCACCGTCCCTACGAATGACGACGACCGTGTCATTTAATTTAATAACCAACATTCCCAACAAGAGATTATCAACAAATATAACTTACCTGAGAAAAGAAAACAACAGCTGTTTCTGCTTTTTTTAACACTGCACATAGAGGCATTCATAAACAGTTTATAAACTTAACTAAACACGACGTGAACCAACTTTTACTGACTCAAGTCGACAATAGTTAATTTATCAGGGGGCGTCACTGGCTGTGGCAAGCAAAAAAAAAAAAAAAAACTTATGTGGTTTATTCTTTATTTTTTATTATTCCTCAAAGTTTAAACTTAAAATATTCTATTAAAATGTAAAATTGGTATTATCTTAAATAATTATTTCTTTTAATTCTTTTTATTTTCTAATTTCAGTATTCTTTGCGACAACTTACAAAACTTTTACATCGGAGTTTGTTAAATTTTTATAGAGTTTTTCCCCTTGTTTTCTTTCTTTCTTTTTTTTAACTTGTTTTATTGTAAATGTCATTGTCATGTAATTGCTTCAATTGATTGATTCGTTTTCTATGGCTTATTAACTCTTTGCAGATTGTTTAAAAACGAAATATATTTTTAGATTATAAGAATTTTTTACGGGGTGGGTATAATAATGGTTTAGTGATACAAGTCTTACTAATTTCATCCATAGCTGGAGAGATACGAAATCCTTTCCAAGGCTATTTGCGCGTAAGTGAATACAACGAAACTAACTGTAAATGGAACTCGGCTCTCTGATTAACAATTCCAAGCCAAATATCCATTTACACTCAACTGCATATCCAAGCTTACAGCACCTGGTATACCCAAGTGGTCACCAATCTAGGTACTGACCAGGCTTGACGTTGTTTAACTTCGGTGATTGTACGGGAACTAGTGTTTCAACGTTATATGGCCGTAAGCCCTGAAACTGGTTCAAGTGTTACAATGGGTTAGTTCATGTTCTAAGCTATTAGTAGCCAGTCATGTCTACTCAAAGAATTCTGTTTCTTTGTTTTCTGTGAATTGTCATGACTTTGTGGCGGACTTCACCACATTAATTTAACTTTAGATTAGGAAACAGAACTGACGTGGAAAAGGAAAAGACATCGTTACACATAAAATATATATTTCACAAGATGTACAATATCAAACAACGATGTGAAAGAAAGCACGCATTTAAGTAAGAAAAGGTTGATAAAACAAGAGTTGTCTTTCTCTTAACTATTATTTTTGTATTTCAAAGTTAACTGGAAGAATGTTTATAATGACTGTTCTCAGAAGATTTTGCTGTGTAAGACAAGCTTATGTGAGTGTATAAGGAATGGTCAGCATGTGAATGGTGGTGTGAGAAGGTTGGCGCATGGTTTCGACTGTCGTGGATTCGCAGCTGAATTCTCACTAATTAGCTAAGAAAAATTCTTGCTTATATAAGTGACTATAGGCTCCAAATCGCTGCGCGGGAAAAGTTATACTTCGCGTGTAGACGATCTGAATGGTTGGCATTGACCAATCAGCAAGCGAGCTTTGGGGAGACTTAAGAAAGCTTCTGGGATCCGTTTCTCCCAAAAGTGCACAAAATTGACGACATGAAAATAGAGCGATAACAAAATTATCGCATTGCTGCGATTTGTAAATTGTCTATAATAACGTAGTGGTGATTTATTAACCAATGAATGCTTCTCGTTGTATGTGATTTGTATGTGTGTATGTATGTACGATATAGATCGGCACAACTTCCTGGGAAATATAGTGAAGTGGTTTCTCGCTGCCTTTTCCACGGTTTGGAATTCAGAATTATCTTAGAATGGTTGTCAACCCAAGGCTCCAGAGCTCCGTCTATCCTACTTTTTCTTCTTCTTCTTTGTATTGTGTCGCTCCAGGACGTCAGTGATCATAGCTCTCCACAACCTCCTATCCTTTGAAGCTTGTAGCAACCTTTTTCATTTTTAGTATCCCTACCTCTCCCCGTTCTACATCTCATTTACACAAGTTTGTTAGGTAGGTGTTTAATTCCCTTTGCTCCTCTTACCTTCAATATATGTCCTGTGAGTGTAAAATTCTCCAAGCCTTATTTTCTCATTATATGTTTTAGAAATTTCAACTATCACTTTCTGATTCTAAGTGTGTGCGTCCTTTTTGCTTCCATTTTCTTCTTTGTTACCTACATGTTCAGTCCACGAGATTCTCAGTATCCTTCTGTAGAACTACATTTCTGTTACCCCAAGTTTCTGCTTTATCTGGGTGGAGATTGCCCAACATTCAGTGACATATAGGAGGATTGATATTACGTAACAGCTTAGCACTCGTTTCTTTGTTTCTAACGAAATTTTCCTGTTTCTTAATCCTTAACTTTTTGAAGGCACCTTTAGCTATTCCAATACGCCTTCGGATTTCGGTGTCATGTTTTTCGTCCTATATATATATATATTATTTTAATCAGTGTCACCCCAAGTAAGACAGTACAACCACTAACACGCAAGGGGTTACAGAGTGTAAAGGCATTAGAAACAGAAACGTTAGTAATGAGGAGGAAGAGAAAAGAGCAATCAGGAGGACAATAGATAGCGATTGGCATTGAATTTAAATTCTTGCAGATTAAAATTGGCTGGAAGGGAGTTTCACAAGCGAGAAGTGTGAGAAAAGAAACTGTTAGCGTCGAAGTTACGCTTACATCTAGCTAGCTCAAATGTAAATTAATGATACCTCAACGCCAGTCTAGTACTACGCTTAAATTCATAGAGTTTAGGAAAAGGTTTAAATATTTGATAATACAAAATACATTCGTCTTTCTTAATTTTATTTTTGCTAGCAAAATAATCTGTGGCATTTAATTTGATTAAAATGCCGTATCTTTTTTTTTTTTTTTTTAAATCTGTGTCACCCCAAGCAAACCAGTACAGCCACTAACACGCAAGGGTTATAAGGTGTGGAGGAATTAACAACAGAGACATTCGTAATGAGTAGACAGTGATTGGCATTGTATTTAAATTATTGCAGATTAAAGCTAGCTGGAAAGCATAGGACCGGAAGAGAGTCCCACAATCGAGAAGTGTGAGAAAAGAAACTGTTAGCGTAGAAGTTACGGCTACATCTAGCTAGCTCAATTGTAAATTGATGAGACCTCGACGCCAATCTAGTACTGCGCTCAAATTCATACAGTCTAGGTACCATAGCAAAGAGCTTATCCGAACAGTTACCATGAAAGTTTGATTTCAACTACTCCAATTCGTAGTTCTGCTGAAAATATTGCTGCTTCTTTTTTCCTTTTTTTTTTATTTTCATTATCAGTATTAATAAGCAAAAATATGTATCCCCAAACTAGGCAGGAAATTTTTGGTAGACATTTACTTTTGTAACAAACGACGAAAAGTGTGATAAAGAAAACGAACGCGCATATGAATAGCAAAAACTGTCTTCCAGAAACTATCGAAAATACTAAGACATATGAAAATCTTAGAAACAAAGAAAAAGAAAACGCTGAATTGAGATGTAATATGTAATCTCCTATATGACAGTGAATGCTGAACATTTTCGTCACAGATGAAGAGACCTGAAACGACAGAAAGGTGCTTCTACTGACGAACGCAGAGTATATTATAGACAATGTTTTTAAATGAGGTTTTTAAGAAAAATAGGGACTATAAAAAAAACGAATACTTCTTCTTTATATGCCATGTTACTTCAAGACGTAGGCGATCATGGCCCTCCACAACTTCCTGTCCCTTGTAGCTCTTAATAAATGTTGTCTTCTCTTATTTTTCCTAAGCCCTGTTCCGCTATACTCAACCTCACTAAGTTAGATATTGTTTTCCTCTTGCCGTTTATCTATCCCGTGAGTATCAGATTTTCCAAGCTCTCCTTCCTCATCATATGCCCGAGAAACAGTCTCTTCCTGATATTAAGTATTAGTTTATTTTTTGTTTCCATTTTCTCTAAAACTTCATCGTTGCTGGCATGTTCGGTCCACGGTATCCTCAACATCCTTTTGTAAAACCATATTTCTGTTGCTTCAAGTCTCCACTTCATCTTTGAGGAGATCCTCCAGCACTTACTGCCATACAGGAGGACAGATACCACATAGCAGTTTAGTACTTTTTCCTTGTTTCTAGTGAAGATTTTCTATTTCTTACTACTTTGCTTAGTTTTTGTAATGCTTCCTTGACTATCGAATTTCAGTGTCCTCTGATTAAACACTTCCCAGATTTTCATAAAGAAACTGCTGAAATTTCTGGGACACATGATGAGGAAAGAGGACCTGGAGAGTTTAACCCTCACGGAACATACTGAAAGCAAGGTGAAACAGCAAGTAACCTACTTAACAAGTTTGTGTGAATAGAGAACAGAACAGGAGGAAAACGAGTCTGGTGAATTTAACACTAACATCACAAACTGAAAGTACAGGGAATCGGCAAGTAACCTGCTAAACAAGTTTTTGTGTGAATAGACGACAGAACCGGAGAAAAGAGGGTCTGGATAATTTAACAGTCACATGACATAATGATGAAATCAAGAAAGGTTACTCGCTATTACTTGCTTATTTTACAGGTTTGTGTAAATAGATGACTGAACAGAAGGAAAGAGGGTCTGGATAATTTAACAGTCACATGACATAATGATGAAATCAAGAAAAGCAAGGTGAAACAGCGAGTAACCTATTTTACAGGTTTGTGTGAATAGATGACTGAACAGAAGGAAAGAGGGTCTGGTGAATTTAACAGACAAATGGCATACTGAAAGCATGTCAGCTGTGGTTCGACCTCAGGAGAGATGGGATCTGTCAGGTCAACTTATCCAAGACACACTGCACATGAATTAATGTCTCTTTGGCTTTCAACTCAGATATTGGTATGCAACCGATAGACATTGATAGATGGAGCTCGTTGGTCAGGTGTTCAGTTTTACTGTGACCCTACGATCCCACACAGCAGTAGGACCGATGATGAGGATGATGATTTTTCTTTGAAGAATAAGTTTGCCATATTTTATCAATTAAAATTTAATAAATATGAGAAATCTTTTGTAAAGAAAGCAAAAACATCTACATAACGGAGAGCGAGGTAAGATTTGTAAAGGAAAGAAAGAGGACGGTTAAAATGGCACACACTGTTTTGAATGTTACAAAAGATCTGAATGGGTTCTTTCTTTTCTTTTTATGTGTCATGTCCTTTCAGGACGTAGGTGATCATGGCTCTCCACCTTCCTCTATCCCTTGTAGCTCTCAGCAAGTTCCTTCTCTCTGCTTCCTCCCCCAGACCACATTCTGTCATCTATCTGCTCAAGCCCGTCAGGTATGTCACGCGCTGCTTTCCTTTGTCTTTCTTTCCCTCTATTCGATTAGTGAGTATCAGATTCTCCAGACCCTCCTTCCTCATTATGTGTCCCAGAAACTTCAGCTGCCTCTTCCTGATATTAAGTATAAGCCTCCTCCTTGTTTGCAACCTAAGACTTCATCGTTGCTCACCTGCTCGATCCATGATATCCTTAGCATCCTTCTGTAGAACCACATCTCCGTCGCCTCGTGTCTCTTTTTCATCTTTGAGGAAATCGTCCAACATTCGCTGCCGTAAAGAAGAACAGATATCACGTAACAGCTCAATATTCATTTCTTTGTTACCAAAGAAATCCTCCTCTCGCAATACCTTGTTCAGCTTTTGGAATGTGCCCTTGGCCATCCCAATACGTCTACGGATCTCAGTGTCGCATTAACGTTCAAGAGCGCTTCCCAGATATTTAAACTTCTGCGTCTGCTTGATTCTAGTGTTCCCGACCTGCAAATTGCATTTCGGGATCTTATTTACTCTTACTGATACTGATGACCATGCATAATGGGTTAAAGAACTATAATTCGTTTTGGGAATGGAAAATATCATTTCATGCCCCCCGGTACATTCGACCCGAAAATGTGAGTCTAGGTAAAAG